GCGGAGGCCGAACAACACCCCATTGCAGTGTTCCAGGTCGATCTTAGTAAGGCCTTCGATAGGGTGTCACACTCGTTTCTCTTTACACTTCTGGAACGATGCAGTCTTGGAGGGACGCTAACAAAGTATATTAAGATTTGCTACAGGGAAATCACTACTCGCTTATTAGTCAACGGGAACCAAACTACTCCTATAAAGGTAAAATCATCAGTAAGGCAAGGATGCCCAATGTCGCCGCTGCTCTTTGCGTTATATTTAGAACCTCTATGTAAAATAATTATGGCCGACGAGAGCATTCAGGGCGTGAATCTTGGCACCGGCCCAACTAAAATTCTAGCCTATGCCGATGATGTTGCAATTGTATGTTCGTCTAAGCGAGAACTGGAGCTTGCAGTAAAACATTTATCGGATTTCTCCAACGCATCAGGGGCAGTCATGAATATGTCCAAATCGACTGGGGCTTGGCTCGGCCCATGGATCACAAAACCCGAGAGGTATTTGGGCATGAATTGGTCGTGTTCAGTCTCTAAATATCTCGGAATTGAACTCGAAACTTTATCACTCAGCACCGGCCGAGAGGGCATTCATTTAAATAAGGTTCACGGAAAAATGAGCGAATGGCACGGAAGGTACCTTTCGTTCTTTAACAGGTCTTTCGTTTGTAACTCTGTATTCTTTTCGAGTGTATGGTATGCGGCACAGGTTGTGCCGTCCCGTCAAGTAGATATCCACAAGTTTCACAGGATTTGTGCAACATTTATCTGGCAATCTTTGTTTGAACGGATGCGCAGAACTAATTTGTTTCTTAGCCTTTCCAAAGGAGGTATGGGACTCGTTAACTTAGAACTAAAGATAAAAGTAAATCGTTTTCTGTTTTTTCGGGACCAAATCCACCCGGTTCTGGCGAGATCCTTAAAGTGCCTAGGGGGACGATACCTGTCGGCCTGGCAAGTTAGTACGGAAGAAGCCTCCAGAAGGGCTCCCGTACTTAGGTTTTACAAAGAGATTGAAGACGCCATTACTTTTTTTCAATCACGTTTTTCTTGGGACTACTTAATCCAGGCGAATAGGAAAAAGCTGTATTGGGACACTATCGACCTGGTAATACCGCCACCAATGTATCGCTCTCCGCCGGAAAGCGTAGAAGGGTCTACAGTGTTTAAAAAACTGCGTAAATACCCGGTAAAAACATGCATAAAAGACTTCTTCGTAAAATTTCATACAGAAGTGTTGCCTGTTAAGACGTGGCTCGAGAACAAAGGGTTTCTTTTAGCGGGGTCTGTCAATTGTGCTTTATGTCCTTTCCAGCAGACTTTGCACCATGTATTCCTGTACTGCACAAATGCTGAAATATTCTGGTCGGAACTCCGTCATGCACTTAACCTTGATGAGGCCCAGCCGGATTGGGGCACTCTAAAATTTTCTCCGTGTTGCAGCTGGTGTAAACCAAAAGTGCGTAGAAGTGTTATTTCTGCTCGGGATGCATGCGATTTGGAGATCCCGTACGGATCACACGCTCGTTGAAGAAAAAGGCAAGCCTGCTTGGAGCCATTTTGTCGAAGGCTTTTCCTACACTAGTAACCTGTTAGAGCAAACGTGCATGCCCGGCTTCGAGCAGTGGTCCGTTATGCAAGCACGTTTAAAAAACTACATGGTGAAAAGAGACAAGTTCATAAATAGAAATTGTATAATGCTCAACTGATCCTATGAAAATTTGATTGGGTGGGTTTCTATACATGTGTGGCTTCGGCAATGGCCAAGAAGGCCAGCTTTTAACTCTGTAAATAAAAAAAATTAAAAAAAAAAGCCCTCGTGGCCTAACGGAAAAAAAAAAAAAAAAGTGGCCGAGTGGGCTAGCGCACACCAGCTTGGAGCACGTGGAGCGAAAGCTCGCGCTGCAGAACCCAGGGATTCTGGGTTCAATCCCCATCCCTGCTCGTTTCAATCTAGATGAGCATCGTACCGGCGTGCGGTCGTGTATCAATACTGCGTGGTGCGCGTTAAAGACCCCAGGCTAGCGGTTGTACTGCACTGGCTAAATTGCTCATCTGCAGCGAGTGACTCGTCGCAACTTTAAAATGCCTGACGAACTACACCCTGTATAAATATCCACACAACCCCAATTATTTTTAGCGTGAAGACACAATTATGCAAGCTATTCGATGATTTTTAACGTTACAAGATACCCAGATAGTTAGAATTTATAAATCAGTCATTGCATGCCTTCGCGGAATGCAAAGACGTTTTTTTTTTTTGGAGGAGAACCTGGAGAGATCGGGGGGGGGGGGGGGGGGGGGGGGGGGGGAGCGAGCCCCTTCATGCCACTCGGGCCCCTACTGACGCGGAACTCTGCGCACGTCTATGCTAGGAGTGCCTCGCAGTACCTGATATATTTGATGTTACTATGTATAGCCTTTCCCATTGTTCACCCGGCAGGTTAAAATCTCCGGCAACAATGACAAGCGTGTTTGGAGGGATGGTATTACACAGGTAATATTGAATTATTAAAAAAAAAAAAAACATTATGGGGGCGTTAGGGGATCTGTAAACTGCTCAAATTACACAAGATGAACCACAGATTGTTATTGTACACCAGATACTCTTGCTATCGGGGTTATCTGTCATAACTACAAATTGAATGCGGAGAGCAAGCCGTCTGCTTCTTGCACAGGAGTTGCTAGATGCCTCATGGTATACCCTCTATTCTTTCCTTCTGAAATCATCGCAACACCTGTGCAAGAAGCAGACGAACTTGCGCTCCGCCATTCCATTTTTAACAACAATTGCTAAGCCATCACCACGTGCATAGCGGTCTTTATGGATCATTTTGTCAGATGGAGGGATTATTTCAGTCGTCTATCTCCGGTCGCAGCCAAGTTTCTGTCACGATAACCACATCAGGATTGTAGTAGGCAACACGATAATCAAACTCAGCTATCTTATTTACTAGACTGCGTGCATTAATATTGATTAATGTAAAATCTCTGTTTTTTTGTTTTTTTTTGCGTTGTCATGGAGTTTCAGTTTCGTTTGCCTTTTCCCTGTCTGGTTCAACTCTGCACCCCTCCCGTCATCCCAGACAAAGGTCGCGTCATTGACCACAATCGTATCGTGCAGAAATTGCAAAGCAAGCTAGCGACAAGCTAGCGAACTATTGGCTAGCCTGCCCAAGGGAAGCGAGTCAACTTCGCACCTTCCGTCTTCTTTGGAAACAGAAAGGACCAGGTCGCGAAGGCCGGGCACTCTTGACGTCCAAATCGGCGCCAACAAGTCGGCAACGCTTTCAGCATTTCACGCGGACACGTCAAAAATGACCTTTTCGTGTCCCGGCATCCGAAGAGGACATCATTAACCTTCTGAGCGGCGTGGTGACTGATGGCAAAGTGACCTGTACCATGATTAAAAGCAAGTTTCTATGGTATGCTTCTTTCCACGTTTCCACAAGTACTGTCAACTTCAATTCCATCAATGACCCATAAGTCTGGCCTGAAGGCTGCCTGTTCCGTCTTTTTCGTGGCGTCCTGAGGGCTGACAGACCAGTTCAAACCATTTCCAAAATGGGTCATCTCGGCGGTATAGGGAGTATTCACATGCGGCTTATATGCGGGTTGCGCGCGTTGCATTCTGGGTACATCGCCAATACGTAACGGATGAGAGTTTTGGCGCGCTTTTTTTTTGTGACTTGTTATAGCTGCAGAGTAACAAAATGGCAGAGTTTCAAGCAAAATCAAGCTTTGCTTGATTTTGCGGCCGAGAGATGGCAGACGACTGCGCATATTCCTATGGTTCAGAGTTTGTCAGCTCGTCGTGTCCGATTCCTTTGCCATTTTTATTTCTAACGGGAGTTGAACACTAAACATAAAAAACTATGCCGCATTCGTGCGCTGCTTCTCACTGTACTAACAGGTAAAGAAGAGCTCGGAGATAATGTTCCACGGGTAAGCTTTTTGCTAACTCTCAGTTTATTGCGGCCGACTCTTTCCAACTGCGTTGCGATCGTTATGAACCTTATCCCGCATTTTTGAGCGGCATAATCAAGTCGCATTATTATAATACATTTAAATACACGATAGGCAAGCAAGCGCAATCATTGGATCTAAACTATCAGTTTTGGGCACATTTTTGTCGGACTACTGCGGGTATTTGAAAGTTGCTCTGTCGTTGAAGCATGCCTTATTTCAACTACTCCGAATTGGGTTAGAAACATTTCAAATTTCCTGCTCGTCATACTTGCAACATATGTTGCAGAAAATTCAAATATTAGTGTCATATATATGAGGCAAAAGGGGTAGTTTAAAATAAGCTAGTGTTTCTAGAATAAAATGCACACAAACAATTAGAAATTCACAAATATGTATTTATTTTATTGAAAGACAATACTGTTTTGGCGTTTTGACAGTCAGACCTCGTTGTCTGCCTCAGATTTTCACTGAGAGACCCAGAACTCCTCCATGCATGACTGCAGAAAATGAAAAGCATGCACTAGACTTTCACCAAGTTCTGCAAGCTGTGTTCAGAGCACTGAAAAAATGACTGCTTTCGCAGGCTTGTTGACAAGACTAATTCCATACAAGGAGCAGTGCACACTGTTCACCCTTCGAGCGGTCAGACTTCAACGACATTCCCCCCCCCCCCCCTTCCCCCAACTGACTTTCCCTCCACCTCCCAAATGGTCCGATCTCAACGGTTCCCCCAGACTGACTTTCCCTCTCCACAAGCCCCATTAACAGCACGACCTCAAGCAGCGTCAAGCAGCCCTGAAGCTCCATCTTCGCGGCCGGCAACATGCTCTGGCGACCACTGTGCACAGCTACACAGTTGTGTCTTCACGACGACGGGACAGGATGCTTCTAGCTGCCAGCAAACGCAAGCTGCAAAAAGCAAAAAAAAAAGCAAAAAAAAAAAAAAAAAACTCGAGACAAGCAAGAAAAAAAAGGGCAAACCAAAAGGGCATTAAGATAAAAAAAAAAAAAAAAATTCAATGCCTTGCTGAAAAATTTATGGCACAGCTACCTCAACCAGCGGTAGCCATACCGGACAACATCTTCAGTGGCACACTGCGAGACACTGTGTTGAAAAAACCTGGAAGAGCAAACAACAGCTACTCGGAAGATGTGCGCAAGTTTGCCTTGACACTGCATTTCTTTTCGGCCAAAGCTTACAAATTCCTGCGCAAGCATGTGAAACTGCCTCACCCCTGTGCACTTCGGAAATGGGCAGCCATGATCGGTGCGAAGCCGGGCTTCACCAAAGGGTGCTTTGAAAAAGTCTTCCAGGAAGCTCAGAAAGGACTTCTCCTCATCAGCCTGATGGTGGATGAGATTAGTATAAAGAAGCAAGCGGACTGCGAAAGCAAGAGAGTCGTAGGCTACTGCGACCTGGGCCATGGCATCCTCAAAGACGATTGCAATGCATATGCGAAGCACGCGCTTGTTTTCCTGGCAGTTGCCGTCAACCGCAACTGGAAGGTACCTCTGGGATAGCCCTGATTGATGGACTGGACGGCACTGTTCGGTCCAATTTGGTCCAGCAATACCTGACAAAATTGAAGGAGGCTGGTACCGAGTGCATCTCTGTGACGTGTGATGGTACAAGCTGCAATTTATCTCTGCTCACAGCACTCGGGGTAAGTCTGGCGGAACCAAGAATGAAGAGCTGGTTTCCTCACCCCTCCGGGGGATAGGCGGCCGACTGGGCTCAAGCGTACACCCAGCTCAGAGCACGTGGAGCGAAAGCTCGCGCTGCAGATTCTAGGGATCCTGGGTTCTGCCAGTTTTGATCTGGATGAGCATCGTACCGGCGTGCAGTCGTGTATCACTACTGCGTGAGCACGTTAAAGATCCCAGGTTAGCAGTCGTACTGCACTGACAAAATTGCTCATCTACAGTGTAAACCAGTGTCGCCCCATCCTGGCAGACCGACCTTACGCTGCATAAATCACTAAACGTCCAATTTGACTTTTTTATTTTCCTTATTCCTCCGACCCGTCAAGAAGGGTTTATGCAATTTAAGACAAATGCCATATGTTGAAGCTCATGCGAAACCTGCTGGCTGAAAAGGAGCTCATCAGGGATGGTGCGGGTAGGACTGTGGCCTGGCACTACTTAATGTGTTTGGATCGCCTACAACAAAAGGAAGGCCTCCACGCCGGAAACAAACTTCGGAGGCGGCACATTGATTTCCACCAAGAGAAGATGAAGGTGTCGTTGGCGGCACAGGCGTTAAGCCGCTCCGTCAGCTGCGCCTTGTTGTTCTGCAAGGAAAAGCAGATCCCCGGCTTTGAGGGTATGGGGGTCACTGTTGAGTTTTCAGCAGTAGTAGATGACTCCTTTAACCTCACTAACTCCTGTCACCCCGCGCTCTTGGCAGCAAGGCCCGCATTGGCGTCAACAACAATGAGACACCCTTGACAAAAATATACAAAGCCTCGCGCTACCTCAGAGGCCTCAAGGATACCACGGGCAGACCCCTGATCCAAGGTCCAAGAGACGGCCATCCTTGGATTTCTGTTGGCCCTCCAGTCCATTAAGGGTCTGACTGAAGACCTCATGTGGAGCAGCAGCCATTTGCTCCACTGCCTGGTGTCACGCAAGCTGAGTCCTGAGCCAAGACCACCTCGAATTGTTCTTTGCAACAATCAGGAACAGAACGGGCAACAACAACCCTACGGCCCTCGAGCTTCGCTCGGCTACAGGAAGTGCCTCATCGCGAATGTTCTGCCCTCGAGACGTGGCAACTATCAGGTCGACGCCACGGAGACGCGTCTGTTGAGCTCGTCGGACAAGCGCCAGCAAGGCACAATAGCTGACACAAGCCAAGACGATGACGACGCCACGTGGGTTGTAGGGTACAAGCTTCTCTTGGAGTTCGCTGGGAGCATTTTACAATACATCGCGAGCAATGTGACCGTCCACTTTGCAAAAGAGGCAAAATGCCCAGACTGTGCAAGGATTGCACATCTTACCACTGACAATTGTGACCTGGTGCGTGTCAAGGACAAAGGCGGTTTACACTGTCCATCCCCAGACATCCTGCATCTCTACACCACTGCCGAGAAGGTGCTTCGCAGAAACTTCGACACAGTGGCCAAGGGAGAACGGAACTGGCTCTTCAGGCTGCAAACCGAGACGTTGACTATTGTCTCCTTGTCACCATCTTTCAAGAGGTTCGACCACCGGTTTGTCGCACAAACAATTGACAATCAGTCCCACTTCTCTGTCATGCTCAAGAAGATGCTGGCACACTACTTTCAACTGAGGATCCACCACATGTGCCGGCAGGAAAGTGCCGAGGAAAGTGGAGTGGCCGTCCGGCAATACTTCAGTGCTCTTTCGTGGACAATAACGAAACCTGCGCAACATTTGCCATCTGAGCCTGGCTTCTGTTTGCTAGAATCTATTTATGGAGACGTGGTGCCACATATCCAAATACTTGGCTTCTCACGACAAGAATAGTCCAGATTCTTTGCAACTCGAGTTGCAAAGAATCTGGACAATTCTTTTTCGATTTTGTTTATTTATTTTAAGTAGCCTAAGAGCCCTGGGGTTAGCGTATTGCATAATGAAGTGGTTTAATAAAATATTAAGGTTGATATGTCACGGAATGAGTCAATGTCTTAGAGGGAAACGGTGGATTCAATCAGGCCATTACAGTTGACAGGCCTGTTGAGAGAAATAGTGATCAATGCGAGGGAATATCCGATGCGGTGGCAAGATGAATAAATCATGCAAGAGGTCATTGAAATAAAACCTATGAAGGAGACAGAGTTTACTAATATGCCTACATGAACACAGGGGTGTTATCGAATAAAGTAAGTACTAGCCCGATTCTGAACCAAATCCGGATTGGATGCGAGCTATTTAACGTGTGGGTCCCAGGCCGAGGATGCATATTCTAGTTTTGGTCACACTATTTCAACATAAGCAAGGCACTTGACAGATGACAAGGTTACGGCATAAGAAATCAGGGATGTGCTTTGAATCAGAAAACAGGGCATTCCAGAGAAGGTATCGAGAGAAATGTACAAGGTCTTTGCAGTGCGAGACAGATTATACGTCAAGGTTACCTATAGTATGGTGCCGCGCGTCTCGGACTGGTGTGTTTAGCGTCCTTTGCTGCCCACACATTAAAAGTGGTCCCGAAGTGGCAACAAATGATGTCACAGAAGCCGGAGTGTCATTCTGTCGGATGTCGCGATCCCGGCGGTTGGTCGTAGAAATTCTAGCGAAATTCCCGAGCGACCGTGAGTGTTGCTGTAGTCGCGGTGTCCTAACTTCTGGCTGCCGTAGCTTCTGTGGACCGACACGCCTAATGGTACGTTTACACTTGCGGATCCGCCAGCGGATCCGCCCAGCTTTTGCCGCTGGGGCGAAACGCTGGGCGGAAAACGCGGCGGCGAGCCGTTTAGGTCCGGGATCTATTTCTGCCGCCGAACGAGGCGTTTCGCTGACCGGATGTGACATTCTTGCGCAGCGCGACGCTGCCTGCGTCACGAGTACGCGTTCTTCCGGGAGCAGCAACGCCCGGGAGAGAGAGAGCCGAGGCGGGAACTCTCGTGCCTTCTCGTCATATTTGACGAGACGTTACGGGAACCGCTGCCGCAGCCGGCGCTGCCTCCACCGCTCGAAGGAAATAGATGTATACACAACCAGCTCGTCGCCGCCGCCGCCGGGAGCGGATCCGCTCCCTCGGCAGCGGATTTCTTTTCAGGTGTAAACGTACCATAAGAGCGACCTGCAGCAGAACCACGGTCCGCCATATTCACCACCGTTGCTGTGACACTGCCAGGATTGCGGCCGGCAACAGCATGACACTTGTATGACGCCACCGGGAGGATATTGAGGGACCACTTTTTTAGACGCGGTAAACATATGTTAACGGCGCGTTCCAGGCGGCATGCCAATGGAGTAAGCAGTGTGCAAATGTCGGCAGGTTTATATTTTGATCTGTAACCAACCATTACTTAGGTCTACACAATTTTCAAAGTTAAAATAAGTTTTGCGTGGTTGAGATGATTCCATAAATGACACAGACGTAAAAAAAAAAAAACATAAGAAAACTAGGAAAAAACAAGTTTAAAAAAATCACAAAAGAGAGCAATGGTCCAACTAGATATCTTTTTGGTATGCCAGAAGCTACGGAAGTGCCTCTGGAATGACATAGATGTCAGGATGCTTTCGACCCATACCAGTATGAAAGCATGTAGAGGAAGTGCGGAGACTTTTGTTAGTAGTCGCTTCTGAAAGACGTCACTGAGAGCTGAAGGCACTATATTGGACAGGGCAAACAGTCCCTGCAGCATATTTTCTCTCACGATCCAATTTACCACTCGAACAAAAGCAAGAATCAGTGAAGATGCTGACAGAGCCCCGAGAGAAAGTCATGAAAAGAGAAGCAGTAGTGCAGGCATGCCTCGTGAAGCGCAGAAGTGCTCCACCTTGTCAATCTTAGCAGGCAGGCAAAAAGATAGCACGTGCTCGTCCCCGGAACAACTGTGCTTGGTGAAAGACACTGTAACAACAGAGTTACAACCCAGCAGTATGCTGTCTCGGCTGCTCTGCACCAGAGAACAAAAAAACTGTGAGCCCCACTTATTTGCCTGCACCCGACACCAGCAGTGGTTGAAGGACTGCACTTGTTTCTGCGGATGTCCAGTCTTTCTATAACAACAAGACGATGAAACAGCTGTATCGCTTGCTGGCATACCGAAAAAAGCTGTAACCGAAAAAGAATCATAAAGCGGCTTCAGATGAAATTGTTTACCAGCTTCGACGCGAGCGAGCAAGCGTTGTCTTGAGGACTTTTACCAACGAAATTGGTTTCCATCAACTATTCTCAGCCGCGTTAACACCTTCAGACATCTACCGACTACTTGCAAGCTGAGAACGCTGTGTCTATAGGTAGTGTGGAGGTACCCGGAAGAATTTCTTAGATACGTTGGGCATACTCAGTTGATTTTTTCAAAGGTACGTCGGACGGATCCGGCGATCAGGTATGTCGGACGTATGCGCGGTATAGATCTTATATATGAAGATGATGCCTGGTGTGCGCTGAGGGCTGATGACCCTGAGGACCATGCTCCCAAGTCACCGCGAGAGCTTGCGGTAGCAGTGCCGTTCCCCACGATCGCGGCAACATATAGCAACCAAATATGAGCCGCGGACGTACCCTGCTCATATTCTTTTCGTACGTCCCACGTAACTACAAGAATATGAGCCGGGCGCATCCGACGCTGGTCCGAGGTACCTACCATAAATCGGCCGGGTACGTTCGACGTAATTAACCGAATCTTCTAGGCTTGGGCCAGTCACGTGAAACCACCAAAACCTCTCACGCAATCCTTCTCAGCAATGAACATTTCGCTGGTCGAGTGCAGCGAGAATGCAAAACTTTCATGCGAGATATTCGCGCGATGTTTAACAGCCCATACCTGGTTCGATCTTGTGAGGTACGTGCTTACCCGGTTCTATTTGTTCATCGTCTG